GATAATTGGTGAGACCTGCAGATGAGTCCAAGACAAAGTTTGACAATAGGTTTCTGATTATATAATGTCACAGCATCCAATTACCGCCTGCACTGCAGAAAAGGAAATAGATGTTTCTGAAAAGTAACAGCAATTTATGTAATCAATGAAACATGTAATTACAGAGACGCAGGATTAGAAGGACACAGAGATTTGATATTTGTGTGTTACTTGTCATGTGCATTGTTAAATTAACCAGAACATATGTGCAAATGTTGCAGCAAAGTGTATTTTTGGTTGTTTTTTTTCTTTCTGCAGACCAAAACAGCTGAATTAGATATTGTTTCTAATTCATGTACTGTGGACTAAATTTAGCATATTTTGCATGTCTTTCTTAATGAATTCCTCACAAACAGATCCCTACGTCAAGGTATCTCTCATGTGCGAAGGTCGGAGACTGAAAAAGCGAAAAACCACAACAAAAAAGAATACTTTAAATCCAGTCTATAACGAGGCCATCATATTTGATATCCCTCCAGAAAACATGGACCAAGTCAGCCTCTCCATCGCCGTGATGGATTATGATAGGTATGTCAGGCAATTTTAAAGCGCTTCAATCATGTTTTCTTTGCGTGTTCCTTTCCTTGTGCCCATGTGTATCTAAATTATTACACTTCCCTCTTTGCCACATACCTTTAAATATATCCTTATAATGTTTTCTTCCATATTCTGGGTCTTAAAGGGTCTCTGTCACCTGAGATGCTTCCTGGGTCCATGTGCAGCATTGACGTACAGCATCTCCATCCTCTGCATGGAGATACTGAACATTCCTCATAGAGCTGCATTGATTCAATGCTGATGCCACGCATGTCCTGAGGAAACCATACATTTAATGGGGTCAGGAGGTCTGGGGACTTAAAAGGCTTTTTTAAACCTATAGTGTCAGAAATACATGTTTGTATTCTTGACACTATAGTGTTCCTTTAATACCAGGGCACCTCCATTTTGTTCTCCTGTGCAGATAAAGACTGCAATTTGTGGGATCATTTTGATGGATCGCTCCCCATGAAAAAAATACTCCCTGCTATGTATAGCTAATGAACTAGGGGGAATTCACAAAAACAAAGAGAAACAGAGGGACAAAAATTGATTCATTTAAATGCAAAACCTGCATATTTGTCATTTAATCCATGGTCAATCACTTATTTCCTTTGAAATTCAGCCAATTCAAAATATGCCAAATTATTTTAATCTTACAGCGCACATAGCATTACAGCACCAAAATATTCAACAGCTGGACATTAATAATATATTTAACATTGTGGGCTTTGTGCCATATTTGCCAATGAAAACAATAGTCAATAATGTGGTAAACATCTAACATTTTAGCCATCCGATAAAACATGCCATGGGTTGCCAAGCTAATTGTTCCAAAATTATCAAATTGTGCTAAAACTGCCCTGTTTTGCCTTGATCAATGTGTCCATTTTGGCATCTTAGAAAGTCGCTTTTCTTACGCCAAAAATGGTGACATGTGAATAGATGTAAAGTGTTTTGAAATTTGTGTCACTAGATTACCAATTAGTGAGATATACAATCTATGGAGTGAAGCTGATGTCCACAAAATTCCAATCAATATAATTTGATATCCTGTGAACATGATGTAGAGAGGGTTTTTTACTCTTTTGTGGATGAAACACGTATAATCAGGAAGATGAACGCCATCCCTAACATTTTGTCCCTCCACAGGGTTGGACACAATGAGGTAATTGGGGTCTGCAGAACTGGATTGGATGCTGAAGGGCTCGGTCGAGACCACTGGAACGAAATGTTAGCTTATCCACGAAAACCGATTACTCACTGGCATGGATTGGTAGAGGTAAAACCACCCGAAAGTGTGTTCTAACAAGACAGCTAATAAATACACTAATTTAAAATATATTATCTGCCTTTGTCTTGAAAGTGATAGCTAATATTAAAACTACAAATTGGCCATAGCTCCCACATTTCCATCACTATATTTAAATATACTGTAGGCATTAAAATAATTGAATCTCATTTAAGTGGTTATAGTGCCCGGGGCGCTGTCTCTCCATTCAGTGTTAAACAATTTACTAGCAGTTTAACATTAAATAAAGGTCCCAGTTAGCCATAGCTCCGCCCCCACTGGTGTTGTGGCTCAGGCAGAGATTACACACGTCCTTCTATCTATACCAATTCATACCAGCAATGGGCTCTGTGATGGGCTGAAAGTGGTCAGCAGGCACTTTTGTCCAATCACAGCTGCCCGATGCTACCTTGTTATTCCAATTAGCAGAGGGTAGACTGGCTGCTGGGAACTCTTGTTAAAAGAACGTTAGTCACCCTGACCGTTTCATCTCATTGAAGTGGTCCAGGTGCAGTGTCCCAGTCCCATTAAGTCCTGCAATGTAAACATTGCAGTTTTTGAGAAACTGCAGTTATTACTTTGCAGGGTTAAGACTGCCTCTAGTGACTGTCAGACTGCCACTAGAGGCACTTCCTGCTTGGTAACTGACTTTTGGGTGCCTAATTGACGCTGGACGTTTTCATGCTCTGCTTGAAAACATCCAGAGTCAGTAATATCCCCATAGGAAAGCAATGACGTTGGAGGAGGCGGATGGCCGACCAAGCACTTTATGAGCGGGGAGAGGGGGGCACCAGAGGGCACGATAGTGTTAAGAATACAGATTTGTATTTCTAACCCTTTAGAATCCCAATAAGATATAAACATTAAAAGGGGTTTAATAATGAACAGAACAACAGCACCAGGGGTCTAAGGACACTGTAACCACTTAAATAAGATAAAGCGGTTACAGTGCCTACAGTGTCCCTTTAAACAGAAATATTTCAGGTTCTTTTGTGAAGGGTGGATATTTTTATTTTGCCTACGGGCGTCACATAGGGCTGTCTGGCACCTAATAGCTATGAATGGGTGTTAATATTGTGGCACCATTTTAGTGAGTAGACCCCATTATTGGAAATTACACCTCTGGCTATTCAAAACAGTCATTACCTTGAACTATATTGTCTTCCTAAATCTTACAATATTTGGATAGACGATATTTCCCACTTTCCTGGCTGAGCAGAGTTCAGTGTACAGTTGTTTAAAAAGCAAAAGATTTCACCCATTTCTGTGCTGCTTAAAGTTCTGAGCAAGGTGCATAATGCACAAATCTCGATCTGTCTAAGAAATTCCACCATTAAATAAGTGAATTACAATTAAACACCCGTGCTTCACACTGTTAGAATTGTCATTACATTTACTCAGCTCGAGGCTGTCAAGTTATCGTGGCTGTGTGAACTTTTAAAATATGACATTAAGATCAGATATATCCCAAGTTATATCAGAATCTCATTTCTAAATCACCTAGCAGTTTGCATCAGATTCATTTTCTGTTTTACTAGAAATAGAGGGATCAGAAATCATTTGTGTTTCTCAGGTTCCCCTAATCTCAAAAAAAAAACTACAGTTTTAAATTAAAATTAAAAAAACAAACAAGTAAATTCTGACATAACCTTGTCCACCCACTTAATGTTCTGTTACTTGTGTAGGATCCTTTGATTTCTACCCTTATTTAAACGATTCAGCTGTGTTTACACTTCTGTTATTAGTGCATGAGTTGAATTCTTTTTATTTTTTTATTTTATTTTTTTTATTGTAACCTTGGAGTTAAAGGCTGTTTCTTTTTTTTTCTTTTCAGCAGCCTGGCCGGGCAACCAGCTTTGATAGTCAAGGATCGTGCTCTTCACCTAAGCCCCCTCCGAGCCCATAGACACATCATACTGGGTTATTATCTTGGTCTAACAAGGCAAGTTCATGCCGAAACCGAATATGTCCCATTAAAGAGGAGCTAGTGGATTTATCCACCAACTGATATTAGTTCCTTGTGCAGTGTAACATTCACATTGTCATTAGACAAAAATACAGCAGAAACATGGATTGATAAATCTAGACAAAGGAAGAGCCGATGACATGGAGTAGAATTCTTCACAAGAACTGAGAGATTATTTATGGTTATTAAACCTGTAGTCCATCTTCATAAAATGTATGTTTACTTCTGATGGCTCTGTACCAACATGCCAGGTGGGACATTCGAGCATGAAATGGGATATTAGGGGCACTTCAATATGACCTCAAAATCTCCAACATTTAGGTAAACAAATGAATTAATCAGCAAACAAACAAAATTTCTTGCCCCTAAAGAGGACTACAATGCAGGAAAAAAATCTAAAACCGTGTTTGTCCTGTAGCAGGAACAATGTCAATAACGCTTATTTACAGAGCTCAGAATCCTCATGAAAGAGATGTTTCGTAACATCTACTGTAACTTAAAGGTACACTGCACTGGTTCCAAGCAAAGAAAGGAAATAAACTGTGGGATCTGCAGTTAGAATACCTGCTCTTGGCTGAGTACCTTTAATTAAATCTCAGTTATGAAATAAACCATTTATGCAGAATCTGAAAGGCCGGTCAAAAAGTAGCATTGTCCAGACTTGGAATTCCTGCTGGAGCTAAATTCTGTCTCATTCTTTCTTTCTGGAATGCCAGAATATCATATAATGGATCGAAAAAGAAATGAGGTATCCATGCAATGACTCCTTGTTCAGAATGCTCTATAGCAGAGGATTTCGTTTGTAAATTGAGATTAACGGTCATGTTCAAGGGAATATTTGCATTGTATTATACGATCTCTGGCTTATCCAGGTGGATTGAGAAGATTGCTGGCACTTGTAAAATAACTTCATGTCATATAGAAGGGCAGGCCTGGATGGGACAGGTTAAGCCCTGTTCAACCTGCCTGTTTTCTCCCACTATGCTGATCTCACAGACTAGATTTCCAAAGATCCAGCAATGAATGTGAGAGTAATTTATTTGCAGTGACATGGAGAGATCATGGAAAAGAGTTGTACAAATGTAACTTTATATAAAATAATGGATGCTGTAGGCTATTCCTGAGCAGCATGTAGTAAGGGTGTATTAAGATAGCTAACAGAATTAAATCACATACATGAAAAGTTCTGGGCACAAATGCTAATTTTATCCTCAGAATGTTTTAGAGAATTTTCATTATTACATTTACGCTGATAGGAGAATAGTCTGGAGGGAGAATATATGGTTTAGCAAAAAAAAAATTGATAACAAAGAAATCATGGGAATGAATTTGGAGTTTGCACCAATGCCAAATTGTGAGATCACATGAGAACTGTGCTAAATAACTTGGTCACCTGTTTGAAACAAAAATGCATACTTGCACCAAACAGTGTCTGTGTGTGTGTGGTACACTGTCAGTGTCATGTAACTCGCAGGTATGTTTGTCATAGACACTAGCTCTAATTGATGCTCTTACTGGCCCATGAAATTACTGTAGGTAGAAACTGTGTTTGTAGAAAACAATCTGATACAATTGGTGCATATCTCTGACAACATTCTAAAAACTGTACTTGAGCTAAAAGTAGCTAACTTTGGGTGTATTTAGGAGTGTGAATACCATAGATTAATGACTTAATGAGAAAGATGGAACCTTGCTGAACTGACATCACCGCTGAAAGTGATTAGTAACCTAGATTAGTGGTTCTTACACTATTCCAACTGTGGCCAAAAACAATTCAAGAAAAAGAGCTTACTCTCTTATTGGATATTGATAGAATCTGGATGAGTACCAGTCCTTGTTGATTGACTGGAGAACCAGTGACCTTGAGCATGACTTGATCTAAATGTTCTTCTTTAAATTAATTAGTTGATAAATTGGGTCATAAATTGGTTCTTTTGTTCAAAGCAGTTGACTATAAATAACACAAACATAGCTTTACTGTAATACTGGATTTAGTAGATGAATAGGGCTACATAAGATTGTAGTTCCAGAGCATGAGTAGATATGATTAATATACTGAAGTCAGCTGATTATCCAGACACATACATATATGGTTGTTTGGGTAGAATCAATGACTAGCATAGAACAGGATCCGAGTTATTGCAGTACTGGAGTAGATAATAACGCAGAACATGACAAGTTCAAATACAAGCTAAGGAATGTTCTGTCGGCTATTGATGCCTAACCTTGGCAGCCTTCATTGGCCATTATGGAAAATGTACATCACAATTCTGGACTATCAAGTTCAGCCATCACTGATTATGGTGTACTTCAGTATGTTTAGACTAGGCTTGACCGAGAATATTAGATAAGACTGTGATAGCCAGCAAAATAAATCAGGTACATTGCTTTCCTTAACAAACAGTTGGTGAATGATCTAGAACAGGGGTAGGCAAGCTTTTCGCACTCCAGATAATCTCCCCCGATACTTTGCCAGCATTATAGCTGTAAGAGCATTATGAGAGATGTAGTCCACAACATCTGGAGTGCCGATGCTACCCCCGATCTAGAACATCAAACGCTCAGTTTTTGTTAACACCTGACGATCTAGAACATGTGGTGAAAACATAAATATCCCGATATGATTGCTGGATATTTTAGCATTGAAAAATCTCGATCATTAGAACAGGCACATTACTTGAATTGGTCATAAATGGAGTTATGTTCAAAAGTGCGTTATTGCTAAACTTGCCTCGCTACAAAAAAACTCCTGGTGACATGAATGTACTTTTGAGCACAACCCACACAGTGCCTTAAATCGTAGCATAGGTTTGTAAATTAAGGGGTGTCCTCATTATTTTCAATGTGTCCTTATTCACTCCGTCTCAGATATATCAGAAGTCACCTAGTTTTCTAAAGCAAGGGATTTTATTTTTTATTCCTTTATTTGTTTTGTTTTTTATTATTATTTATTTATTTATTTATTTTAAAGGGTGGGTTTCGCAGCCAGGGACTACTAGGGCTATTTTTAGCAGTTGTTGAGGTCTTCATCTATTATAATCTCACTGAAAGAGCCAATTATTGCGGAGTCTGTTGCTATGACGAGCGTTGCCCCGCTCCGTCGTTGTATGCCATTGTGTCATTGCTGTATTCTCTCTACATTAGTGTGCAAAGCAGAGAAGGACCCCACTCATAACATCATTATTCCAGTTTAAAAATAGACAAGGATTATATATAAAAATATACACACACACAAACACCTAACATATATGTGAGTGTATTTATTACACGTATATATTTTATATTACAGTTACAACTATTATTTCATTTTCTTTGTTTAGATAAGGTCATAATAGCAATGTTGTAAAAAAAGATATCACACGTGAGTTGAATATTTCTCTTTTTTCCACATTGACAAGTCACCCCTACAACTCACTGTTTAGAAAATAATCCACTAAATGCCCCATAACAAGTCACCCACGCAACTGGCAGAACTGGTGGTGCTCTACGTAACCCTGTCATGCCAATCTGCTTTACATGATTCTCAGGATAATATGAAAACAGCCAACTTTTACTGCAAGCACCCATCAATGGGCGCCCTTAAATAAACCACCATCTTTAATGCACCTTTCACTTTGTTGGCATTATTATTGCACACATCAGAAAAGAAAGAAAACTCCAGTATCAAATTAATGTTCAATGATATATATATAAAGTTAAAATTAAAATTTTTGTAACCAGCGATGCAAAAAAATAAATAAATGAAAGGATCTAAAAACAGTATTATATATCATAATGATGGGTATTGGGGGAGGGGTGGGTGGGATTTGGATCCTGCTGGTACTTTATAATTTCGTATGATGCTTGGGTTTTAATGTAATTACGCGGTGCGCCTGTGCACTTTGTGTTCGAATATCACAATTTATGGTGACTGCAATATCACTTGACTGTTATAAAGCAGCTCCAGCTGCGTAGCCGTTTACCAATACAAGCTGTGTTTGCGTTAGCCACTTTTGCTGGAGAGAAAGGGAATTTGCCCCAAGTAATAAGCACAATTTTATTTTTATTTTTTTCTTCACAAAGAAAACTTGAATTCCTCACTTTGAAAAATAGCATCAGCATTAGTTATGTAGCCTTAAAAAAGACAATTTAATGACGTAGTCTGAAACATGTACACATAATACTTATTAGTTTGATATATAGAGACCTGCGGGGATCAGTATACAGTCTGTAAGGCTTCTGTGCTTATTTTATGGAGAGTGCTGGGCTCAATGCTCAGTCTATACTGGGTTCAGTGCCCAGTCTATAGAGAGTTCCTGGGTTCAGTACTCTGTCTATGGAGAGCTCCTGGGTTCAGTACTCTGTAGAAAACTCCTGGGTTCAGTACTCTGTCTGTAGAAAACGCCTGGGTTCAGTACCCCGTCTATGGAGTGCTCCTGGGTTCAGTACCCTGTCTGTAGAACACTCCTGGGTTCAGTACTCTGTCTATGGAGAGCTCCTGGGTTCAGTACTTTGTAGAAAACTCCTGGGTTCAGTACTCTGTCTATGGAGAGCTCATGGGTTCAGTACTCTATCCATGGAGAGCTCCTGGGTTCAGTGCTCTGTCTATGGAGTGCTAGAGCATTCAGAGCTTAATTAATAGAGAGCTGCAGAGGTCAGCGCTCAGTGTGTGCAAAGCTGCAGAGGTCAGCGCTCAGTGTGTGCAAAGCTGCAGAGGTCAGCGCTCACTCAGTGCAAAGCTGCAGAGCTCAGTGTTGAGTATATGGAGAGCTGCAGTGTTCAAGGTTCCATCTGTGGAGTTCTGTAGGGAGTTGTATGTGCTCTATAGTGAGTTGCAAGGTTCAGTGTTCCACATATAGAGAGCTGCCGCATTAGGGGTTCAGTGTTCCACATATGGAGAGCTGCCGCGTTAGGGGTTCAGTGTTCCACATATGGAGAGCTGCCGCGTTAGGGGTTCAGTTGTTGAATTAAAAGCTTTAATGTTTCATCAATAGGCATCATCTGCTGGATTCATTTTACGCACTACAGATATGTACAAGGTACTCAAGTCTTTATGAAACTTGCTATACTAAGTAGCGGACATCTACCTATATTTATGGATATCTGTCATGGTAGAAAGAGGTTTTCCAGGAGCTTTCCTATAAAGACTAACAGCTCATTCCAGGAATAGGACATTCTCTCTACATACAGACCTCGGCTTGAGCAGTATGGGGCAAAATCGCAAACATTGTTGGATTAGTGCTGACTTTTTGCACAGACAGAGTGGAAATCTTTGGCTTGTTTGACACTGAGGCTCAGATGCTTATCAAACTGACGTGGAGACTTGATTTGCCAGGTAATGGCTGAGACAAGCGGTGGAAGAAACACTTTTATTTCTGGGCGGTGGAAGTGGCTTGTAGTTCTGTCTACTCTAATACCACTTTAAAAAAAATCATGCACCACCCATTACAAGTTGGGTACACGCCTCCATGCACTCCGCTGCCCTGACCACCCAATTGCTTCTCGCATTGAGGTACAACTGGGAGATCTTCAGGAAATGAATATGAAAGTTCCCAGCTTTGTTGTTATGTTTACATCCATGTTTAACCCCTTCTACCCAGCAGCTCCAGTACATTATCTAAAGGGCAGACTCGAAGATTACATTTAGTAGTTAACCCTTTTGTGACCTGAAACCCCATTACATTGTCTAGTCTGGAAATGAAGTCACATTACAATAGTCTGCTGCATTGTGCAGTGCCGACTCTGAATCCATCAGACGGACAGCCTGTCTGTCTGTAAAATATAAATGGCAATAATATATTACTATACAGCAACCTGCCAAGTATGTGTTATTAATGTTCATCTTTGTATCGGGTAGAGAACCTACATTGAATTAATCGCTCACACTTTATATGCAATGTAAAATGAGCAAATTCACGTTTTGGTTGATTAATGAGCAACAGGATGGTTAAAATATAACAACAACAAAAAAATTCAGATTTGTAGCATAATAAATTTGGTGGAATGAGACCCTGTATTCTGTCTCCGATATAGTTACTTCTGACTTAGACCATCCTTATATTTCTCGTGTGACTTGTCTTACGGACAGGAGGACAATGTTTTAACAATGTGCCCATCAGCAGAGTTATAACCATCCATTTTATTTAGAGTTCAGATTTAATGACTGACGTTTAGTTGTTGTTCAGATGACTTACTTTGTATGGAATCCAAGGAAGGGGAGAATCATGGGACATTGTTGTAATTTCTTTATTGTGGTCATAGGTTGCTTTCTATAAAACGATTAGAAGTAGAATCACTTACATCTTAAGCATCTGATTGCACATGTGGTTGTTTCTGTATTCCGTGTGTCTGCTGAACATTTTCACCGTACCATTCAAAACGATTGGAAATGGCTATAGTAGACCACCAGTCTGGAGAACATTTTCACTGTACCATTCCAAACGATAGGAAATGGCTATAGTATGCCATCAGTCTGGAGAGCATTTTTACCTTACCATTCCAAACGATTGGAATTGGCTTTAGTATGCCATCAGTCTGGAGAGCATTTTTACCATACCATTCCAAACGATTGGAATTGGCTTTAGTATACCACCAGTCTGCAGAACATTTTCACCATACCATTCCAAACGATTGGAAATGGCTATAGTATGCCACCAGTCTGGAGAAGATTTTTACCTTACCATTCCAAATGATTGGATATGACTGTTGTATGCCACCTGTCTGGAGAACACTTTCTCCTTAATCCACTGATTTGCTAACTGAAGGAAAACTGGATCTACAAATGTGATGTTGGAGGATGTGGACCTGTGATGAACAAACAAGATGAACAAACATGTCAACTAGGGTGGACAGAGGTTGACAATGATACCACCTGGTTTGGAGGGAAAGAGCTGGAGGATTGAGCCTGCTGATATTTGGAGATAGTTAATTGAGTATACTAGTTGTTGTGTGGAAAGGGAGACAGACTATGATACCTGTGGAGAGGGGATAGTTGTACCAACTGGTGTGTAGAGAAAGAGGTGGATAATAGTTCCAGCTGGTGTGCCGAGATGGAGCTGGTCAGAAATATTCTGCTAATTGTACCAACCTTACAGTGATGCCATCTATTGTGACAGGAAAGAGCTGGTGGATGATAGAAGCTTGGAGTGAGCTGGACAATAAACCAAATGACACGATCAATTAAAGTTGTCGGGTGCCTGTGTGCTGAAAGGGAGTCAGCTGATGATACCAAAGGATGTGTGGAGAGGGAGACGGCAATAAAAACTTGCTGATATCATTGGAAAGAGTCGCTAAGATTGTTGGTGAATATGTGGTGAGGGCATCAGACAATAAAGGTGCAGGAGTAAGTTACATCACTCTGTTTCCTGTTTGAACGCAGTCTCTTTATCTGTTAGTAGATCTTCAAGGCTTCACTGACTTTTTCTGAATCTGAAGAAATGTAAACCTTCCCTATTCATATAACCAACCAGGTACAAATCTGACTAGATCCACTAAGGAGGTGTTTGTCATTGCCGAAACAAATCTACTGACATGGTCGCCACATTGAAAAGAGTCAGGAGACCAAAGTAGAGTGACTCATCCACAATGGATGTCGGGTTAGCTGACTTTCAGCGTATTTTCAAATAATCTCAGTACATTTCTGGATACCTGCTTTTCTTGACACTTTTGGCAACCTCAGATAGGGCCGATCCCATGAATGTATCACACAGTGTTTTCCCAGCGGCCTGCGACGGTAAAAGAGAACTCTCTGTGTTCCCTCTTGATCAGTGCCTCTATTGTCCTTTCGGGGGAGCCAGTAGCAGCAGTGTAGCTGTATTCCACATCAAATTACACTCAGAAGCTTTCACCACCTTGACAGAAAGCCAAACTCGTGTGATAAGAAGCAAACAGAATAATGTTCTTCTGAATCAATGAAATGTCATTTTGTAAATGTTTTCCACTTCTTCCAAATCGAATAACGTGCGTGCTATTTTCCTTAAGTGATTGTTGCTCTGAAGAAATTATATGTCTGTAGAAATATTAATTGTGATTTATTTCTGTATTGGTCGTAGTATTTATATTTAAATTGTAAAATGGAGGCAACAGGATAGTTGTTATTTTGCCAGGGAACAAGCTGAGCTGGGATTGGGCAAAATCATATTGCAGTAAGGGTTTTCAGATAGCTTGTGAGATAAGAGTATTTTTTAATTCAGAAAATGAATTGACGTTATTACTTATTGTATTTATTATATATATATATATATATATATATATATATGTATGTATGTATATATATATATATATATATATATATATATATATGTATGTATAGTTTTGTTATGAATTTAGTGTACCGTTATCTTCATCACCAGGTAAATTCCCTGAGCAAACTCCAGAGATGAGTCTTCATTCAAATCTTGACTCAACTCTGAGTTGACAAAGCCTTCAAGAGGAATCATGGGAACATATATTTGCATAAAGTTAGAACTCTCATTATTCAAAATGGCAGCAGCCATGAAAACTGTATCAGTAGAATAGAATGTTATGAACCACAAAGAGGAGTGGGATTTATTATAGTAAGTGCATTATAAAACATCAGAATTAGAAACGGCAGCATTACCTAATAAACATAAATTATGTTGCAAACTGAAATTGATATATTTGAATATAAAAAAAACCCAAACAGAACTATTGGAAGCAGCCATGTTTCTTATATGACAGTATACAATCTTTGTTTTTGTTTCATACTGTATCGTATCTAAGCAGAGGTGAACAACACTAGAATTTGGGCCTTCCTGAAACGTTTTGATTGGAAATGGCTGGTCTCGTATTTTATTAGAATCAATATTAAAATCTAAACTAAGTTATGCCACTTTGCCTGTCCACACTAAAAAAGGGACGTGTTTCTGGTACAGGTGACCGACACCTTGAACCGATTTTGGGGGAAGTGGGTGTAAGTTTTGTTAACAGAGATAAACATCATTTACAGATTTATATACCAAATATAAAAAAGAAATACATAGATATGCTCCCTGTCACCTTATATCAATGTAATATGTTCTATTCAAATAAAATTACACATTTTTTTTTAAAAAAAAGCATATTACTTGAGGAAATGCAAAATACACTTTTTTTTAAAAATTTGACATCTTTGTGTCATCACATCGCTAAGGTAATACAGACATATTGAGGTGTTTTTGTTAATATATGCCTAATAATATATACCTCGAAAATATTTTATAACATTGCCCTTAATCCAGTTCGTGCAAAATACTAATCTATTTTTTTTTACATTAGTGATATATTGATAGTATTTAATATATATTTAGCTGTTATCTTTACAAATGCAAATACAATCCTATTTCCCCAAAAATAAAACACACAAATATATATTATATAATATAAATAATACAATATTTTATTTAATCCCTGACAGAAGTCATTTTTTTTTTTACTCTCTAAAAAAAAATCCCTGATCATAATGATTGGATTTATACCAACTTTTATTTATGCTGTGACAGCGGCAAAAATACTTAAAATGCCAATTTTAATAACAAACCTTATACCGCTGGCACTCTGAAAACTGCCCAATATTATTATTATTTTAAAAGTAGAATTCTATACATATATTATAAATAATATAGAAATTCTGTCATGCTTAATTTAAGCACCATTTCCTAACATCATTAGCGTGACTTTTTATTTATACCTTGTTCATTTTTCCCAAATTGCGTAAGAAGCTTGCACACCTGTAGCATTTATTTATTTCTAATGTAAGATTCAAGAACAATATTTTGGACATTTCCTTGTTAATAAATATATTTGGAATTAAAAAGAATATATAATTTATTTTTAAATGTATCCAGAACCTTGTGCTTTTTGAAATCTGTATAAAAATTGTCTTAACAAGCTGCATCCTCTCAGGAACGTAGGATAAAATATAAAGAAACTGTACCTTTAAATAAGTTGTGGCGAGTTGAGAATTGACTTGCAAAATGAAGACTCAGCTGCCGCGGATGAAATCTTTAATTCAGGGAATTTTCAGATTTATTTTTCAACGCAGCTTTTGCCGTATATCTTACAAGTTTTTGTCAAGTCACTACAACCTCTGATCAGTGAGTGGACTCCAAGTGATACTTAGATTAATGAATTTGTAGGAACCTCATGTGGACTTAGCTCCAGCAAATGAAAGGAAAAGAGGAGATTGTATCAGCAATTGAAAAATAAATAATAAAAAAAATCATGTTGCGTATCCGTGCTAAATGTCAACTGATTAATCTTAAAAAAATACTTGAGGTTTGTATCATTTTTTGTTGTGTTTCAAACAAAAATGTGAATTTTTAATGGGGTTTGTGGTTTGATACTCTTGCCTTGTAAAAGTCAATAACTCCAGCTTCTGTATTCTATTTACAAAAGAAGAAAAAAAAATATATGTTTTTTGAACTTTGTGTATCTGGCTTTTTGTATGCGCTAATACATTTGTGTAACTTGAGCTATGGAGACTATATAAACAGATCTATTTATTGCATTACATGCAAACTGTCAATGTTTTGTTGTTTTTTGCACTAATTAAAAAAAAAAAAGATGTTTGCATATCAGTATTTTTAAAATGTCTTCTCTTAAAAGTGTGAATATATTTGTCATGAATGAGTACTGTAACAGCAAAACCTCAACATTCCTTGTGATCTAGTGTACAGTTTGTGATAATTTTTCCAACAGCAAAACAGAGATATTTAAGTATAATATTCACTGGTTTCATATGTATTTTGAAGAAAGAATAAAGTGATTAAAAGTGTATGGTGTCTTAATATGATGAGAGATTCCATTTATTTTCATGTACCGAACACAAGATGTCAAAAAGAAAATTACAGCTTTCAGTCTGGTGAATTCAGACGCTGGTCTCTAAGCGTAATTATCAGAGAAATTAGCCAAACTATCTGCAGGTGCATCAGCAGTAGGTTATGTGTCTAAACGCACAATGGAAAGATAATACCGCTGAGCTCTGCTAATTAGTGGTTATGTACTGAAAAAGTCGCGGCTGATATCCCAGGTCTTCACCAACCTTTAAATTATCTATATGAAATAATTTATGTCTTATGTACAAATTAATGTGTGAAACCCCTATACCATGAGCATGCATTCACCAGTGCTTTGGATATATTTACAAATATAGGAAAATATGACTTCAAACAAAAATATTTTAGCACATACTACTGGCTGGGTAATTCAATTATAAATTGTTGTGGATTCAAAGTGAATATTTTACACCACAATAGTCAAATTGAATAAATTCTTGGCTTTACATAATGTTTTAATTTCATCAGCAGTTTCCACATTCATTTGCTGTATAGGACATATATCTGGCTTAACAGGCTAATTACGTAGTCTGGGTGCAATATGAACATTATCATTTTGTAAGTACATCAATATTTACATTGTTGGGTTAATTACGCCTGACAGCCACTAGAGGGGCTTCTCTGTTCTCACAGCTAGCCCCCAATAGGAGCACAGCACTACCTCGCATACACTTTTAGTCCACAATTTTTCTGATATGACTGTTAGATGTGTCGGAATCACACCGCAGCAGGGTGGGGCTCAGAATTTATTTAAAGAGGAGAATACTATATAGGGTTACAGGTTTGTATTCCTAGGACTATAGTGTTCATTTAATTGATTTGAGTTTTAATTACCAGATGAAAATCACAATTTTGATGCTGGCACTTATTAAATAATACATACTTGCAGTGGACCAGTTACAACTGTGCAATCAGTGTGTTTGTAGCATACCGCAGTACATGGTTTGGAAAACACATAACAATCCTTTAAGATAGCTGCAAAAAAACAAACAAACCTTTTCTCATGTCTTAATGTAAAAACAGATGGATGTCCTGCTTTCCCAAGCATAGCGACCACAGCGCATGCACTGCAGTTACTATGGGAACTTTGACAGCTAGCGAGTATTGGAACACAGAGAGTATAGGAATGGAGTGACTCCGTCTCAACGCCGTCATGCTGGCAACGCATTTTCTGGTGTGCTGGTTTGCCCTGCTTGAGGATTCAATCCCAAGCTGGTCAAATCAAAGAAAACAGTAGGTGTAGAGGAGGACTGTTGGGGTGGAGAGAGGGGTTTAACACGAAAAGATAAGTTTATTGTTTTATTACCGATTTCCTTTGACATACAGTAACTATAAAGAAAAGCTCCATTCTGGAACTGACCGTTTATTTTTAAACACTGCTGTAATAATGGGTTTAAAATATACAAAAATATCAAGATTAAAAAATATTCTCGCAGACTAAGCTGCCTCATTTGGAAGAAATCCCCAGACCTCAGATCATCAGCCTTTCTGTTTTGTCCTCCCCAGGTATCTGGCCAATCAGGAGCCCTTCACACTGGCCGGTGGAGTCTAACCTGCTCAACATGTTTAATCCAGGTCTGCAAGGGGTAAAGGGCAGACCAGGCAGTAAATGTTTAACTCTCTGAGCAGAGATTAGAACGGACATGGATCATTTTTACAGTTCAGCGATTATAACCGTAAATTTGAGTTCCTGATAATTCTCACTAGTGAATAACCCTGAAATAAATCATCACGCACCAAGTGATGTCTTACCTACTTCAAGGCTTAAAAATATAAATACATTAATCAAAATATAATGATCTTATTGTCATGGATAATTAGTCTGGTACCGAAGATAAATTGGTACATGTAACCATGGTAAGAGAACCACCATGGCATCCAGCCGAGGGACGAGGAATGCTGTAATATTGAGAATACGCAATGGTAGTGAGTTATATTAAATATCACTAGATCAGCAAGGAAACCCTTTATAAAGGCGTTGATCTCATTATGGTTCTTCACTCTCGCAGTGCTTTCCATGTGTATTTCAGATAGTGGACTCTACATAGTGGTTATGAAGGTAGGAGTGCCTTAACGCTGTAAAGGATCTTGTTATCCCTGTAGGACCGATCCTTGCAGCTTCTCCCGAACTCCCAGCAGAATAATAACGAAGTAGTGATCATATCTCCCAATTTCCCCAAACATGAGTTGAGACTTCATGAAGGGGTAACACGATCTGCTTTATTGATGGCCAAGCTTAGCCTTTTATGATGGTCTCCCAGCAAGGAAACTCCCACAGGGGACCTTGTGGGAAACTGTGACAAAATATACAGAACCAACCAGTTTACAGTACAATTATTAAACACACCCACAGTAACAGTGCAACCCCTCTTCTCTATCCTGGAGATAATTAACTTCAGTGGTTGGATAGAACCTAATTATCTCCAGGTAGAGAAAAATAGGTCCTTTTTACATTTGGACCAAACTGTATTAAAATCCATAACTTATATTTCGCCAAACGTAGTCTCTAGGTTCCACATACCCTCAGATAGCTGGGATCTGAGCGCACAATATAGACGAATAGCGCTCAGATCCTATGAACACAGTTCTCAATATCGTCGAGTAAAGTTTTTAGTTCACCGGTTGTTCGGGCAATTGAATCCGAAAAGAATTCCATAACTGCAGCTACCTGGGGTCGGTCTAGCTCGTATAGTACGAAAGTCCCGAACGGTAAGGTGTCCTCCCTGCCCCTCTAGGTGTCTCTCTCACAAGCCCTGGTCTGTCTCTTTTGCCCCTTCCTCAGCCCCTCTGTGCAGTGTTAATTTTCAATTTAGTTGTAGTCATAGTCTTTTGACTAAAAGGCCATTTTAGTTTGTCGTATTTTAGTCATCTGAATGGTTTTAGTTTTAGTCTAGTTTTTTTTTCAATATCTTGTTTTTATTGATTTTTTGTTATACGTCAAACAACGTTCAGATGATATTGAGGGGTACAGAAAGGAAAAAAGGGGGGTTAACATTGCATCGACTCATGCATTTACTGCTGTTACATGCATTGAGAAGTGAAATCACATCTTGCGAACTGTGTACAGAAGGGAGTACCAATGTGTGACCCCAGGTGATATTACATGCTTGATATCATGGGTCACTAGTGAGGCTACCTTGTCAACAAAAGGTTTGCGTGGCCCTGTTACGTCCTTGTTAAATGTCAGCTATGGTGAGGTTTAAACGACTGTGGGGCAGTTATATGGTTTCGGTTGTGCGTTGCTATGTGTCCCAGCGTCTGTGACCTGTCCGTCTGATGGCCCTACTCAGCAGGTCAAATTCCTGTTACTCAGGGGTATGAGCTTTGTACCAACTGTGCCATACTTTTGCGTGGTTAGCCTCTCGTCCTTTCAGCCTAAATGCTAAGCGTTCGTACTTGTAGGTCGAGTGAACCCTGTTTCTCACCTCTTGAATAGATGGGGTTCAGGGCTTTTCCATCGACTCGCTATGCTGGTCTTGGCGGCCAGTAGGATGTGACATATGACTACTTTATGCGGTGAAGTCAACAGACCAGCGTGTATGTGTAGGAGACAGCACTCTGGGCGTGAGGGGATGTCAGCCGTTGTGGTTGTTTTAATCAGGTCTCTAACTTGTTGCCAGAAATGTGTCAGTTTGGGACAGTCCCAGAACATATGTAGCAGTGTGCCCACCCCGTCTTCACATCTCCAACAGGACTGCGATGCTGTATGGTACATCTGGGCTAGTCGTGCAGGGACTAAGTACCATCTCATCAACAATTTACAATAAGCTTCCCAGTGGGATAGATTATGAGAAGAAGATCGGGTGGTTTGGAGTGAGTGCAGCCACATAGGGAGGGGGAAAGAAACCTCTAGGTCACGTTCCCATTTTATCATATACGGATGTTTTGTGGACCTGTCAGCATCGTTTATTGCATTATAGCACAGGGAAAGAGGTTTACATGTATGATGGATGGAGATACATCATTGGCCAAAGGCCATCAGTTGTTCTGCTTCGCAGTATTGTAGGTTCAGCGATGTTAGGGTGTGTTTGATGCGTAAGTAGGTGAATATTTCCTTTGGGGGCAGATCATATTCTGTTTGTAACTCGGGGAAATGTTTGATGCCCTGTGGCGTGAACAGGGACCCTACAGAAGTGATCCCGTTCTCTAACCACGATCCCAGCGGGAGGTCGCTGGTTAGGTCGTGTAGCTGGAAAAGGGGGGCGAAGAATAGTGGGTGAGCTTGACCCTGCCCATCTTTTCCAGCTGGCCAGTAAGAATTTGGTGTTGGGTAGTCCCGTTATTGGGGACTTTGTACTCTTATTTGCGGACCATATTTTTTGGTTTATTGTGTCTGGGTATAGGCAAGCATTCTCCAGTGGCAGCCACACTGGGGGTTTGGGGCGTGTTAGGGCCTCTAGGCCCTGTGCCAGCACTGATGCTTTGTAGTATGCCTTTATGTTGGGGCCCCCTAGTCCACCTTTGTTCGGTGGGAGCCATGTTAGTCTGCGTGTGATTCTAGTTTTTTTTTTCTTCTAGAGGTAGGAATTGAAAATAGATTGGAATTTCTTGAGGAGTGTATCTGGTAATGCTATGGGAAGTGTGCGGAATAGATAAAGTATATGAGGCAAAGCGATCATCTTGACTGTCTGCACCCGCCCCAGCCATGAAATTTCAAGTGATTACCATGTGTCCAATTGTGTGTGCAATTTGTGCGCTAAAGGTAGATGGTTTTCTCGTGTGAGTTTGGACGGGGAGGCGGTCAGGTTGACCCCCAGATATTTTAGGGATGTGTTTCTCCAATCAAAGGGATATTCGGTCTTTAGCTTTCTTATCGTTGCGTCGGGTAAACTGAGTGGTAACACCTGGGTTTTGTTAGTATTATTTTTATAATAAGATACACGTCCGTAATGAGTCAACAGAGTCATTAACGCTGGGATTGATCTGT